AGTCGACTAAGTAAAGTAAAATGGTTTATCAAAGTCATGCATGTTGACCAAACAAATAAAAATCAAAGTTACACATATATAAGAGAATTTCAAATTTGCAGCTTTAGATTTGTGGAACAACCTGTTCTTCTATTATTAGGTACTTTTTCCCTAAGGTTTTTACTTTCATATTTCTTCCCCATCGTGGGATCATGTCATACCAATCACGTTTACCCCATCACTACTTTCCTTTATTTCAATATAATTTGCATAGTTTTTTGTTTGTTGGTTTATCCTATTAAAAACCATGTATCTATATGATCATATGATAATATAGGCACAACGCAAGCATACTAACTACTAACTCGATCGACTTAAAACTCGAAGACAATTGAAGTTAATGTTTGGGTCATAAGAGATAGTTGAAAAAACAAAATTATAAGATTAGCTGTTAATTTTTGAGTTCATGGGTAGTAAGGTTATCGAAGTTAATGTTTTTCACACTTCTTGTTTTCATTTTAAAAACTGCATTTTCACAAAGATCGTAAGATATGTTTCAATTCAAAATTCAAGAAACGCAATAGGAACGAATAAAACAAAAAAAGATTCACATTCAAAGCTAAGAGAATAATTACAACTATTTAACACTTCAATAATTAACTTTTTTATGTATATTCCTCCGTTCCAAAACGAAGTGTGCATGTATATAACAACTGATCAGTCTAATCTTATATGAATTACGTCACCTATTTCTGCTCGATAACTAATTCACATTTGTTGACAAAAAATAAGAGAATCACTTCGCTTTTTATCAGTCTAGTCTTATACTATGAATTAGGGCTTCTCATGTATTTGACAAAACAAAAATATTTACACTTCTCATTTATAAATTTTCCTATATATTAATATATGTTTATCAGTTTATAATGTGACAAAGTATCATATTTGTCTCCCAATATGACTTTTTCTCGATTGCAATGCATATAGCCGGCAGACCAATTTCGAGTGGGGCCGAATGTAGGCATGCTTGCGGGCCCCATTTGGAAAAAAATTAGAAAGATTGCAATCCGTATCATTTGTGGGGCGACATCTTTAAATTCGACTTTGAATGGTCCAAAGTCCAAACACACATTCAGATTTGAGAAAACTACACTAACGATTTTAGTCAAATATACGATGATTGCAATTTACTCCATTGACACTCATCTACCTCATTTTATGTTGTATTTTTATATCTTTACTTGGTTTTCTCTACAACAAAACTCAGTTTAATTCAACCATTGACACTCATCTACTTCATTTTGTGTTGTATCTCAAAAATAGTTAAATTTTGTGAAACCACTACTTTTGTTTGGGTCAAACTACTAGTATTAGTTTTCGGGTGTGAATGATTTGTACTGGAGTAAAACTAATTAATGGGAAAAAGAGAAATGAAAAGAGGAAGAGAAAACAAATTAGAGTAATTACGTAGAAATAATCTAACCTCCACTCTTAAGTTGGATGATTTACTCTAAAAGTAGAGGAAAAAAAAAAGTTACTTCAAAAAACTTGGATTGGATGAAAATAGAAGAAAAGAGCGAAAAATAAATCACTCCAACAATGATGCATGGTTGGATAAAGATAAGAGTGACTGAGAGTAAAAAATGTTTTTATCCATTTTTTTCCTTTCAAATGATGCTCACAACCTTCAATTTTCATACGTAGCATTACATACTAGGCCTATTGCAAACATTAAACATACGATATTCAAATATGCATATATATAATTTCAAACGATATGATTGATCCATGATATAAAAACCTCTGGGTCCGAGTAGATTTTTTTAAAAATCCTATAGTGCAGAATCCTGAGATTATATACCAATATACTGTTTACACACAGAAACCATTTATTCAGTGGGGGTAGATTTCAACCAAGTTTTTTTTTTTCTTTTGCATTATAGAAGTATATATAGGCCACGTAGAACAAAAAAGGTACTAATAATTAGTGGTAGGCTGGTAGCAACTAACAAGAATGTATATCTTCTTGTTAAAAAAAAAAAAAGAACATATATCTTCACTAAGACTACTCAACTAGTTATTGATCATTTGAATTTTATTCTCTTTTTTGTAACTGGCCCGTATTTTCTTTTCGTCTGAAACTCATTCTACTTTCCAGAACTTTCGATATATAATAACTTGTTGTGCTTAAAAGAAAAACACTCAAAACGGAAAATAAATCACATTATCAACCAAAAGAACCATGACGAGTTAAGAGAAGTTTTGTTATTATCAAAGACGTGCTACATTTGTCTTTGCATGTGTTTGTACGGTTCTTCATCAGACGGTTCGAGATCGGTAATTATGGTGAATCAAACGGTGATGATTGAAGCTCTCAGGTTTGGTCTTAGTTGGAGATTTTTGTCTGTTGCTATTTTCTTGGACCCATATGCTTTTAATACTCTATTGGCCCATATAAAGTTATGTAAGACCACACATTAATCAAAAACACACATATGCTCAATTTATGAATGAATTGACGAGAGAGTGTTGTCAAAAAGTGTGGTGGTTAATACTAACAGAAGGAAATTGGTTTCTTTGTATTTCAGATTCAAACTCTTTTTGGTAGAGAAGATAATTTTTAAATCGGAATATCTAAAAACTAATTCTGGATACCGAAGATATTATAAGCCAAAGTTCAGAACTTCCACAGTTTATTAAAAAAAAAAACTTGTCATGACAATAATAATTTACCATTATTTTTGGTTATTAACCTGTCACATATATATAATTATCAACTTATATAACAAGATATATATTTTTTATGTTTGGATGTGATTATATTATAATTTTATCATTAGCTCAGTAAATAATACACCCAACCCAAAAAAAGAAACTAATTTTATATTTATTTTTTTGTCCAACACCTAATATAAAAAAAAGGATTCATGGCAAGTAATTTAAATGGTTGTACAATTTGGTAGTTCAAAAACCATATGAAAAAAAAAAAACCATATGAAATATGAAACTGAATACCTTTTCTAAAATAAATAAAAACCATATGAAATATTTTAGGGCCTAAACACATAAGCTTGAATTATGATGTAGTTCCCAGCCCAACACACATAAGCTTAAATTTTTAGGGTCCAATTTTGGTAGGCCCGTTTATTACACATGCATATTTTCAGCATTCGGTTTTGTAGATGGCTACAATGATGAAATTAACGACTTAATGATGAAATTAAGGAAGCTGAAAATGATGTTGCAAAATTAACTACCGGTTATCTATCAAAATTTGACCAAATTGGCATTTCATCAACGTGATAAAAAAATAACTGATATATATATTTCCTTCACAAGTCACAACCTCAAGGTCTTCAACAGAACCGAGCTTTTACGTAGCCTAACCGAATCAAATCCTAATCTTATCAGAGCAAACGTTATCCTGATTATGTTAACCAGTTTTATTAGATCAAACCGGATTCTCAGTTTAGTAACCTGAAGGAAACTAAATTCGATTATCATCTTCTTAAAACACACACAAACGGGGAAAAACCCTCGCCGGCGTTGGCTCATCGATTCCTTTTTTGTTTTTTCGTGTCTGGGTTTAAAGATTGAGAAATGCAGAGATCATCTTTACGGTTTCTAATTGGGCAGAGCCGACGAGGGTTTTGCACGAGCTCCGACAAGATCGTAGCTTCGGTGCTTTTTGAGAGATTACGCGTCGTGATACCCAAACCAGATCCTGCTGTTTACACATTCCAGGAGTTCAAGTAAA